GGTTAAAACATCCCTGACTTTAACCAGAGTCATGAAGAAATTTGATTCTCAGTAACAGAAGAGCAAAATTTATGTACTAAAAATAAAACACTACATGACATTGAAATGCTGTTTTATTATTGTCATGTGTTTAATAAATACACTGGAGTGATACAACTTAGTAAGTTTGATTACTTTCTGAGATATGTATTTTGGAGTTGAAGCCCCCCCTGGAGAAAAATCCACCAGCCGCCCCTGTTTGTACTGAGTCAGTACTTTGTAAAACCTTCTCCTGGGACTTCAGGGTTTTTTTTCTACCAGCAGTAGCAGTTTGTAGTTTAAATTTGACAAAGTCTGGGTAAGTTTGAGCTACGATTACACTTTACAAGTTACTGTACTTAGATATATTTTAAATTTGTGCACACTGACCTCTCTGCCTTAGAGTCAAAGTAACAAAGTGACTCGTGTAAAGCTCCACACCGACACACTGAAACTCCTGCTGGAAATCTTTGGCAGATACTCTTTCAATAGTCAAGATGGCTGTGGAGATGGAGTTCTGTGAATCTTTCTCAATTACTCTGAAAAACAAACAGAGTTGAGTTATTTTACAGAAAAAATGAATGAACTGAATGTGACATGTTTTATTTAGTAAGATTTAGATTACAACAGTTGAAAGTGTTTTCCCCTTCATGCATTCATTCATAAGTTGATTAAAACCTGGATCTTACACTGTGCTGGTTTGACTGTATCCATCCATGAGTTGGACTGGCTGTCCTTTAATGTCCCACCTGGCTGCACAGTCCCTTTTTACGTTCGTTCCACATAAAACAGAGCAGTTCAGCTTGATGCCAACACCTGGGAGATGGAAGAAGAGACATCATTCCTTCACAGCTGCAGCTTTAATAAAACAACCAAACAGGATTAAATGTTTTAACTCAGCAGCACTGAACTGCACTGTAAATAATGAAATGTTGGATTTACTCAACCATGTTATGTTACCTGGTTACACAACCTGTTAACATTCAGAGGAACGCCCGCGTGCCGTTTTTGTTTAGTTTTATTTTGAAAGGACGTTCTGTGTTTCTGTTCATCCTGTGTCCGTGTTCAATACATCAAAATGGCCGTCTAGGTCCTCCTCTTTCAATTGACACCTCATTTGACCAACTGGGTTCAAGTATCAACTGTCCAGAGCCAATAATATATGAGAAGTGACCAACTTCCTGTTTCCGTCATCCTGGGTTTGATTGACTGTAGAATTGGCCAATCAGCTCCGAGCTTCATTTTTCACTAACGCTCACAGGAAAACCTTTTTTTCATCATTTTTTGGCCAGTTATCTGACTAAACCTGCTGATAAGATGAAAATATATTTGTTATTAAGTGTTTCGAGTGCTTCAAGACATGGAAGAGTGATTTTTGTGGCCAGGAGAAGTAAAAATATTTGGATAAAAAGACTTCCGGTCGGCCATTTTGAATCACTAATTTTGTCATATTTGAGGACAAATATGCATCAAATGTGAGTGAAAAACAAATATTTTTTTTCCACTGCTGGTGGTTTTATAAGCTGTGTGGAATGTTATGCTCTGAAAGAAATAAGGATATATTTGTTTATTCTTGTTTTGGTTGTTTATTGGTGGAAATTTGGCTGAATGTACTAAAGTTGGTGTAAATATTTCTGAATATTAATATATATATTTAATTTAATCATGCTG